ACTCCTGCTTTAAAGCCTTAAGGTCAAGATACAGAAATAAATGTTTCCTTCTAGACCCTTCCAACCCCTACTAGCATGACTAGATAGAATGCTAATATTAAGAGTCTAAGCCTTAAATGGATGGATCTAGAAAAAACCATATTGAGTGAAGTAGGCTAGACCTAGAAAGACAAATATAGTATGCACTCCCTCATAGGGGCTTTTAGAGCAAAATAAAACCAGCCTACAAGCCATAACCCCAGAGAACCTAGACAACAAAGAGGACTCTAAGAGAGACATACCTGGATCTAAATAGGAAAGAGAAAAAGACAAGATCTCCTGAGTAAATTGGGAGCATGGGGGTCATGGGAGAAGATAGGAGAGAGGGGAGGGAGGGGAGCAGAGAAAAATGTATAGCGTAATAAAAAACAATTAAAAAAAAAAGATTCTAAGCCTTAGCCCTGTGGTGGTGGTGCACGCTTTTAATCCCAGCACTAGGGAGGCAGAGCCTTGCCCAGAATTAAAGACCCCGCCCCTCATTCCTAGGTCAGGGTTCTTTTATGCCCTGGGAGACTATCATTTACAATTTTACAATTAGCTGTGTAAGCACGTGTGTACACACACACACACACACACACAAATAAAAATCAAACACCGAACCCACCAACAACAGAATAAAACCCAGCCCACAAAAACTCAGCTTTATTACTCAGGAGGAGGCTGCCTTAGGTGGACTGGGACTTCAAAGTCAGCCAAAGCCACAAAAGGAGACCCTGCAGAGAGGGAACAGAAAAGAGAAAAAGAGGGGGTTGGAGAGATGGCTCAGCGGTTAAGAGCCTTGCCTGCTCTCCCAGAGGTCCTGAGTTCAATTCCCAGCAACCACATGGTGGCTCACAACCATCTGTAATGAGATCCGGTGCCCTCTTCTGGCCTTCAAGCATACACACAGAAAGAATATTGCATACATAATAAATAAATAAATAAATAAATAAATAAATAAATAAATAAATAAATAAATAAATAAATAAATATTAAAAAAAAGAGAAAAAGAGCAGTGAGTCAAGGGAGGGGGAATGATAAGGGATGGAGAGAGGGGAGAGAGAAAGGCACAAAATTTTGTCTTACTAACTTCTTGGAAATCCAAGAGGCCCCACTAGAGAAGTTTTAGTAAGACAGGAAAGGTGAAACTAATAATCACTCTACTTTTATCAATTATATAAAATTTCAGGGCTGGCAAGATGTCGCAGCAGGTAAAAACACTTGCATCTGAGCCCTAGGACCCTGTACTGAAAGTACAGAACTGACTCCTAAAAGCCGTTTTCTGATTTTCCCACACGTGCACACAACTACACACACACTAAAAATACAATAAAAATTAAAAACCAATTATATAATTTCAAATCTGCCTTGTCTGATGCAAAATTATTGAAATTTTATCTGTTGAAAATGAAAGTCTTTTTTATAGAAGGCTGGGAGGTTCACTTCCCCAGTGAGAGGAGCCTTTCTCTAGACCTCTGGCTGAGGACTAACTGCTCTGACACACATCATGGAATGGTAGACACAGCACATTCCTTCCAGGCACTAATGCTCAGAAGACCTACACTGACGTCTACAGCAACAAAAGACTCCTACCACTACAGTTAGGGTTCACGATGGAAAAACAGGACAAGCACACAGACTACATCATCCATCACCAATAACATTTTGATTCTTGACATGCCAGGGCACAAATGTAACTGGATGGGATAAAACAAAAATATCCAGGATCTCAATTCATCACTTAAGTAACTTTGTGAGCAGATATTTGAGCCTCAACTGCAAAACAAGGAACGCTATATAGAACTTACTCCAAACCAGTCCTCAGGTGAATCCAACATTAAAGATGTTGTATTTGGTTCAAACTGTTATTTTTTATTGCTGCACATAAAAGCCAGGGAATCATGGGGGGGGGTCAAAGGCCCACCAACCACGAGTGTGCAGTTCTATTTCTCAGTGCTGGCTATCTCCTTTAGAGAGGCACATGCACATACACTACAGGTCAGTGGGTACTAACTACTCTTCCCTCCTCCTCTTCAACTCATTTTACCTTGGTAAATAATTGGGGTTTATAACCCATTTAAGGATTTTTAAAAACGAGTCGACTGCCTAATGCAAATACTGAGGGCAGCCACTACCAAGAGCTCCTCATTAACACGTTTGGTCTCACACAATCGTACAACTTCATCCTCCTCCTCTGCGTCTTGACCGCTTATACGGGACAACAGTGCAGTTGCCGGTACTGAAGGGACTCCGGGGCCATTCCTACCTCCAAATGTCCCCATGATTGTTAACTGCCTGCGTCAGCTCTCTTACTCTTGTCTGCTACACAGGCTGACACAGCCTCCCTTCCACGCTGGGGAGCCTCTGCCAGGAAGCTGTCTGCAGAACATCTCTGGAGGGGGGTGGCAAGTGTTTTTATACGAGGCAGACTTACCTCTACAGTTGTCAACTTTCTGTACACAGCATGCAGCAGCGCCAAATGATTCAAATTTAGATAACTGAACTGCGGGGTGGGCGGGCCATGGTAAAAGACACAGAAAATGCCCTGTGAATCCCAGGCAAGTTATTAAGAGGAAGGGTAAGTGGGGATTCTGAACACTACAGTCCTTAAGAGTCCCAATGCGCAGCACAAGTCAGCGGTCCACCCCTTTCTGCATACGGGGTAAACGATCACCAGCTTGTATTTCTGAGGTTTTGTTTTGCCTTCTTTCTTCTAACAAACATAGTATATCCCTACACGCACACAGACCCGGAGCGTGATAGTGAAAACTCTTCCTCAGCAGAGTCTGCGCTGGCACGCGAGGGCCAAGCCCCTGGAGGAAGCCGGTCCACGCATGCCTCTCCAGAGCCCTAAACCCGACCCACTTGCCGTGGCCCCAGCAAATGACGCAGACCAGCAGTTTCCCCAGGTGCCAGAAGAGAGTGGGGCGGCAGCGCGGTAGCCAGGGAGACCAAAGGAAGCAGTTGTCAGAGAAAGGCGTTGAGCAGCGTCGAGCCTGGAGGCCGCGGTGGGGGGTGGGGAGGCTGAGACAGGCAGCCCGGGGCTATGCCGACTTTTTGCAACGCGCTCAGCGCTGTCTGAGGGCCGAGTCCAGCAGGGTACAGCCTGCCAGGCGCCAAGGCCACAAGCGGCCAGGGCGCGGACCCACGAGGCTGCTCGGTCCCCTGGAGCCCAGGTGCTGCAGGCTCCCTCCTGCTGAGGGCCGCTTGCAGAGCCGTGGCCTTGCTGGGGAGCGAGTGGAACCGCAGAGCCACCCACGGAGAGCGCCCACCAAAGTCACTTTCCAGGCTGGGTCCCCTCGCCTCCGGGGTCCTCGGCCAGGTGTGCCCACCCCGTGGCCGTCTAGACCCCGGCGAAGCGGCCTGTCCCCTCCATTCCCCCCACACACAACGCGAGGCCAGCGCTGGGGGCCACGCGAACCCATTTCCACCTCGACACCCCCGAGTGCGGGCACCTGGTCTTGCTGCCCGGGAAAAGCCGGGAGACCCCCGCGACGCCACATGAGGGCAAGTGAGGAGAGCGGGCCGCCGGGAAGCAGGACGAGGCACAGACTCCTCACCTGCGCCCGTCGCGGGCTGCTCGGCTTCTTCCCCACCCCAACACCAACTCCGGGCCCGGACCCCCCCCACACACACACCCTGCGGGTTCCCGGGGCGAGCCCTCGAAGTCGGCTCGCGCTCGCGCGCGCGACCTCACCTGGCCCGCACCATCCTCGGGGCTCGGGCTCCAGAAGCAGGAGAACGTGTGAAGCCACGTGACTTCCCCGGGCTGGGAAAGCGTGCGGCCCGCACGAGGGGCCCGAGTCCTCGGCTTCAGAGGAGCCATGGCGGCGGTGCCGTCGTGGCGCGGGCCCCCCCCCCCCACGTTGGCGGCCAACGCTGCCCGCCCCTGCCTCCCGTGGGACGCCGAGGCGACTCTCGAGAGACGCGCGCCGCCGGCCCTCACGTGCGACGGCAGCGGCGGGAGGCAGTGTGGCGGACGCCGGGGCTCCCCTCCGCGCGGCCCGCTCCCGTCCGGACAGGCGTTCGAGCCCCCACCCCCCCCCGCTCCCCGGGAGTCTGCAAACGCAGCTCCGGAGGCCCCGGCGGCCGCCCCCGGAGGGCCGCGGCGCCTTTAAGCCCAAAGGCCTGAGTCACGAGGAAAGCTCCCTGCCCCCCCCCCGCCGTCGCCCCACACCGCTCCACGAGGCCCACGACCGTGGGCATGTGACCGGCGCCCCGCCCGTGGGACGCTCGCCCGGGGCGGCGGTGGAGGGTGGGGGGGCCTGGGGCGGCAAGACAGCGCGCGGACCGTTAGCCGAGGCGGCAGGGGACAGCGGCCCCGCCCGGCCCCGCCCCGCCCGGGCGGCTCTTACCAGAGAGAACGCCATGGGGTCCGGCGTGGCCCTCAGGGACTGACTGGCGGGCGGGCGGGTCTGGGCGGCGCGGGACGCGCACACACGTGGGCACTATTTTTGCAGCGAGCGGCGCGCGACTCCGCGCCCCGGCGGGCGGCTTTATAAAGCTCCGCCGCCGCGCTGGCCTGACGAGGAGCACCTGTGCCGGCCCCGCCCGGCCTCGCCCCCGCCCCCGCCCCCGCCCCCCTGCGCTCCCTCCAGCCGTCCGGACCCGCGCTCCGCCGCCCACCCTGGGCCTGAGGGGGGGGACAGGTATGGAGGGGGGGGTGAGGACAGAGACGGAGAGAGACGACCCAGGCGGGGGTGAGTTCGGAGGCTCGAGCCGCCGGGGGCCACCTCTACCTGCGGGGAGTCCGGAGATCCGGGGCCCTGAGCGCGCCGCTCCCGCCGGGCCTCAGTTTCCCCTTCCCGGTTCCCAAGCCTCCGCAGGTGCGGAGGTGACGCGCAGCCTCCTGAACACCGGAGAGCCACGCCCCTCCTTTTCTAGTGACCTCTCGGGTGGGAGGCCCGGTGCACGAACCCGGTTCCCCCACACGCACACGCACACGCACTTCCACCCCCCACCTGCAGCAGACACGCCCTCACTTCAGACCGGCTGCCGCTGCAACGCCAGCGAGCTGGACCGAGGAGCGCAGGCGTCAGGGGATTCCGGAAAGTTCCAAAGACAGCCGTGCTCCTCTTCGGATTGCAATCCCCCGGGGGAAACCGCTTCTGACGCTCCCGCCGGATTGGCCGGGACGCTTGACTGGGAAAAATTCGGGCCAGGAGCTGAGGGTGAGCCGGGCTGTTGTTTAGAAAGGCGTCACGGGCCAGCTGGGGCTGGAGCGGACCGGAAGCCCAAGCGAGCGCAGAGGCGGAGATGGCATTCCGGGCTGGAGACCAGGGAAGGCGGAGAGGGAGGACCGAGCGGCCCAAGCTGACTAGGACCCGGCTAATGCGTGTTGATATCACAGGAGGGAAGTCCGAGCACAGCTTTATTCTGCAGCCAGCTGGAAACTCGGGAAGAACAGTAAACGGAGCCTGGAAGTTGCCACGTCTCTTTTCAGAGGTTGCTGGAAGCTTAGAGGTTGGAAATTAGGCACTGGGGTGGGTAAGAAAGGGACCAGAGTTTACCGAATATTTCTAATTGTCTCGAATGGTATACTGTTAGGTTCTTCCCGACAGGAGGGGAAGAAGCCGCTGCCAGCTTCTGGCAGGTTCGTGAGGCAGCTACTGTAGGCTTCTGCCCAGCGTGCTGGGAAAGGAAGCCGGTGGCCCTAGTCTAGTTTGGTGTTCTGAGAAGAAGGTTGAGGAAGGGGACAGATGCTGGAGTTGAAATCTGGAGAGAGCTCAATGACAGTCAGGGCTGGCTAGTCTCCATCTTGCGACTCTCCCAAGGGTGGCGGATGTCCTAAGCAGAAAGGGTGACGACTGTAGGGGAACCCATACCCCTAAGAACAGCTCACCCCCAAGTCCCATCATGGTCAGCAAGCAGCATAGACCTGCTACGCCAAACCTTCTGTCTCTTGTCTGCCTTCTCTCCCTCTCCTGAGACAGCGCACACTCAGATGTCTATGGCATAGGGGGACTGTACATGAGGGTGTATGAGGTGCTCTGAAGGGCTGGTCAGCCAGCCGTGGTGGCGTAGGCCTGCAATCTCAATACTATCAATGATGAAACAGGAGAGCTGCCTTGCATTGGAGGGCAGCTAAGAACTACAGTCTGAAGAAAGTCTGCCTCAAAAATAAATAAGTCAGAAGAAGGAATGTGGATATCTGATAGATACCAAATATGTCAAAAATATCTCAGGAATTTTTAAATCCAAGGTCACCATGTACCTTAGGGACTGCCAACTTGTGATCCTTTACCTCCAGTCCTCCCTGGCCCCAAGTCAAGCAAGACAAGAATCTGAGACTTGAAATGGCACCTAAGGGCCTATGGGAATGAGTATATAGGGGGAAAAAAAATCTAATAAACTTCCAAACTCCCAGCATATAAGAAAATAACTTTGAAGGTGACTTTCTGCTATCAGTAATTCTCCTTAAACTTTGTCGAAGTGGTAAGAACAGAGTCTGTTCTGGGCACTCAACCATGTGCTTAGCACACGTCTGAGAGCTTCACTTGTGCTAACTCATTTTGTAGGTGACGAGATGTATGCAGAGAAGTAACCTGTGCTTGGCTTCAGCTTTTTGGGAGACTAAGACAGGAGGATCGCAAATTTAAAGCCTTCCTGGACAACTTAATGAGCCTGAGCCCCCACCCCACCCCACCCCCTACACTCCGGACTGTAGAGTAGATTTGGGAGTATAACCAATAGGGGTGCTTGTGAAGCACCCACCAGACTGCAGCTTCAATCCCCAGCACACCACAAAAGCAGGTAACTCGGTTACTCGCTCAAGGACCCCTTGCCAACATTAGAAAACCAAGAACTCAAGCAGTAGTTTTCCATTTTCATAGCCCTGATGATACTTTTTCCTGATGATGGTGAAGTTTTATTTAAACTTGTAGCATCTCCAGCCTGGTCCCCTTTTTACATTTGTTTTTTATTTGTATATATGGACACACATGGAAGTCAGAAGACAACTTGGAGGAGTCAGTTCTCTCCTTCCACTGTGTGGGTCATGGGGCTTGAGCTCAGCTCATCAAGATTGGTGGCAAATGTCTTTACTTTACCTGGTGAGCCATTTTGCCCCCTCCCACCCTGTTTCTCGAACAAGCTTTCAGTATGCATGCAGCACACACTGGCCTTGAACCAAGTCTGCTCCTCCTGCCCCAGCCTCCTCCTGAGTGCTGTGATGATCAGCATGCATCATCATGCCCAGGCTACTCCCAGCATCTTTATGTGTGCACTTCCATGTGACGTATAAGAGCCCACCGATGATGTAAGGGAAGAAGTAGAGGGTTCAAATTTAGTTAAGGCCTCAGGAGAGTTGTTGCTCCCAGGATGAGGTTGGGGAGTAGGGTGCATCCTTGGCTAGGCCTACAGGTTCTACAGGAAGCACAGTCCTGACTAGAAGGCATACATTATATACCACACAGAGTGTGGAAGATGACAAGGGCAGAGACATTAAATGACTTGGTCAAGTCAGCACAGCTGGTCACTGGCAGATGTGTGAGACAGGAGCAGACAAGGAGAGAATTATCCACTGTCCCAGTCAACAAACATCCTTTGAGGCCAGCTATGCCTGGCACTGTCTCTGCAGTTAGCTTTAAAGTGTCTGATTGGCTGTTCCCAGTTCTCAATTGCATGTGGTAGGGGGCAGGAGAGACTGTAGTTTTTTATGTGCTCCATATAAAAAAAAGCACAGGGCATAGCAGGCAGAAAGGAGGTTACTGGGAGAAAGGGATGTCCTAGTTGCAAGAGATCAGAAGAGAAAAATGATTTAGGAAATCAAGACCACAAGGAAAGATGGACATGAAGTCTCATTCAGGTTCAAGTTTCATCGATCTCTTTCTTTATTGAAGAAACACTAGGGTTTTGTTGTTGTTGGTAAGAAAAAAACAGATTAGTATGTCAATTACTCATCAAAAGCCTATTGACCTGAGCTCAATTCCCACATTCCTTGTAAAAGTGGAAGGAGAGAGCAAGCAACACGAAGTTGTCCTCTGACCTCCACCTGTACCGTGTGTGTGTGTGTGTGTGTGTGCGTGTGTGTGCGTGCGTGCGCGCACACACACACAGTAATATTTTTAAAAAGATAGTGGATCAGCCCCACTTTTTTATTATACATAAATGTAAATTTTAAATAGGCTAAATATATAAATGTGAAAAGCTGTTTTGGAATTTTAAAGAAGAATATAGATGGATATCTTTATTTTAATTTGTTGCTTTGATTTGTTGAGACTTATAGCTAAGGACAGTCTTGAACTGAAATTCTCTTCCTCCCAAGTGCTAGGATTATAAGTCTATGCTATCAGCCTGGGAGAGGGCATTGTTATTGCCTCAGCCTGTGGAATAATTCTGTAAGTTAAAAATAAAATATAAAGATGAAAAATTTGACCACGCTGGAGCTTAAACTCATGAAAAATATTTAAAACTAGAAAAGGTGAGCTATAGAGTCATATTTTCAATGCATACCAAGGTCTTCAAATATCTAAGATAGCTTGGATAGCTAAAAACAGCTATCCTCCACAACCCAGTCAACTAAAATGGTCTGTGAGAAAAATGTCCCAAGATCAATAAATATGTGTGCGTGCTTGTGTGCTTATGGACCCTGTAAGTTGACATCTGGAGGCGGTCACTGTTTTGTTTAGCCTGGCTAACCAACGAGTCCCTGGGATCCTGGGATTGGACTTCTATATGAGTGCTGGGAACTGAACTCAACCCAGGTCCTTTCTCAAGCTTGTGTATCAGGCCTTACCTAGAGCAATTTCCCAATCCGTCTGTGTTGATATTTCTTAGAGATTCTCCTATCAGCTCTATCAAAGCTGATTCGGAAGTAAAAATTAGCCTAAGTCCAGCACTCAAGTCCCACCTCAGACAAAGCGGTGATAAAAACAGAAATCCTACGGGGTAGAATTCAGAGTCTCCAGGCTCTCCTGAAATCAGCAGCTCCAGCTGCTGTCTGGTGCCACGGTGCCTGGCAAATCCCCAGAGCCAGATGTAGGCCGTCCCCTGGTACTGCTTTTGTTCTCCTTCCCTAACGGGGCCACACCTATTTCCCCTGGCATACTTCTGAACAGATGGGTACCTAAGTGGCATGGCCCCGGCATACACAACAAGGATCTAGAGCTTCGGTCACAGAGCACCAGAAGCTTTGCCTCAACGTCTCAAGCTATCTGTGTCCGAAGGCTATTCTCCACAACCCGGTCAATCACAGCGTTCTGTGAGGAAAGTATCCCAAGAGAGTAAACACCAAGCATGAGAACAGTGCACACTCTAGTTCCATTGGGGAGAGAGGGGTGGTCATAAGCCCCATTTGAATAATAAAGTTCTGAGAAGGTCTGTAAGACTTCGTTTAAGTCCGCACTCCCTCCTAAACTTATTCTACCCTATTTCTTCCTGGTTGAATACACATTGATTGAATTCCTGCTGCTCACTCAGCCTGCTTCCTCACCACGAAAGGTATCAGGGAGGGCCAACGGGCTTATCACAGGTGTGGAGGTTCTCATCCTCACTATTCTACGCCACGGTGCATACTTAGGACCGCATGCTCAGAATCTGGACTTTTTTTTTTTTAATGTTAAAGACTGCTTCATGCATTGCATTTACATTTTTCTACATTTATTTTACGTATGTGCCACAGCACAGGTGTGGAAATCAGAAGATGACATGAAGGAACTGGTTCTCCCCTTCCACCAGGTGTTTCGGGGTCGTTAGGCTTGGAAGCAAGCACCTTTGTCTGCTCAGCTAATAAGATGGGGCCTTGGAATCTATTTGTGAACAGAGTTCCCAAGAGACTGAAAAAAGGTTTCTTGAGAAGCATGGCCGTATATCTTCTGTTTCTCCTCCACTAAGATGGCCAATTGGCTCATCTCACAAGCTGGGAGGGGATCAAAGCTCCAGACCTTCTATCCGGACATAACTGATGTATTTTGAACTGCTACATATTTGGGGAATTCCCCATATGATGAGTCCCTTCTTCCCAAAGGGCTTATGAGGGAAACCAAGGCAAACTGCCAGCCACTAATGGGAACCTGCTTCTGCTCAGATGTAGAAAAGGGCTGCGGGGAGAGGGATGGGAAGCTGGCTCCACAATGAAAGTGTTTGCCAGGCAAGTGGAAGGACCCCAAACCCCACGTGAATACTGTATGTGTGTAGCAGCCTACCTGTAATTCTAGCCTGGGAAGGTGGGGACAGGATTCCCAGAGCGAGCTGGCTGGGGACACTAAGCATATCAGCAAACTGGTGTGACTGAGAAACCCTGCTTCGATGAGTAAGCTGGAAGAATGAGCAAGAGTGATGGCTGACATCAACTTCAGACCCTGACATACACATGTGTTCATATTATGTGTACACACACCACATGTGCCCACAAACATGCAGTACAGTTACACACACACGTAAAGAAAAGGAGGTCAAGAAAAAAAATTGAGACAGATTATGTAGTTAAGACTCGCTTTGTATTTGTTACGTAGCTAAAGACAATCCTGAACGTCTGGTCTTCCTGCCTCCACTTTGCACGTGCTGGGACTCTTTGCCAGTGATACCACACCCAGCTGAAACTGAGGAATCCTTCCAGCTCTGCCTGGCGTGCTCTCCTAGATGTCTCTCGCTCAGAGATTCCGACACACTCCTGCCTAGAGGTGGTCAGCTCAGTTACCAACCAGAGTCTCCCTGAGAGCCATGAACAGCTTCCCCTAAACCCCTTAGAAGGAAAGGTGAGCCACAACCCAGTGAGAAGACATTTTATTGAGATTTTTGCTACATAAATACCTACAGAAAGCCGAGGGAAGGGATTGCTGGAGGAGCAGCTACTATCTTCCTCTGCAGAGTCACTAAGGAACCCATGGGAAACAGGTGGGAGGGAGACAGTGCCCCCACACTAGGTGGGTAATAGGATAGAGGGAGGAGTGAGGGAGGAAGGAGAGTAGAGGGGAGAGGTGTGAGCAAACGTCACAGGGAGGGACAGGTGACGATCACTGAGGTCACAGTGCTGCAGAGTCACTGAGTCAGAGCCTGAATCACATCTTTCACCAGCATGGTGCCGATCACCATCTTCTCGCTGTTGACAGTCAGCTGGGCAGGTCCAGCTGGCCGGGCGTGCAGAGTCAGTAGGACCAAGCTCCCACTAGTCAGTGTCCTCCCTGCAAACCTGAGGTGGGAGCAGAGGAGGGGTGCCCTGGGGCTTGGGGTGCTCCTTCAAACCAGGCCCCAGCAGAGTCCACCTCTGCCCCTCCACTCATACCTGTACTCATCAGATGTCCCACAAGGAACACGGCCCAGGTTGGCCGTGGCGGTCACTTTCTGCACCACCACGTGGTCACTCCGACAGGTGTCTGGCAGTGTGAGCTTCTCCGTGATTTCATTCATGCCTGTCAGCTTTCCTGGGGTCAGAGGTCATGATGAGGGCAGAGGCTGTGGTGGATCCAGGCTAGCACCTGCACTAGCTAGCGAAATATTCTCAGGTTCTCCCAGGCTCTGCAGGTCAGAATCACCCTCACCAGGCTTCTATTTGGCCTTTCTCCTTCCTGTGAGGCTTCCCCACTCTCTCGGTTCAGGAAACTGACACACTTGCCTTGTTTCTCTCACACCCTCCATTCTTGGCCAACAACACCACCCTGTCACTGTCCATCACGCTGGTCATGCTCACATCTAGCCATTTCTGAGAACTTTCTGGAAGCAGGGAGCGCTCCTCATGGTGGTGCCCTGCTCTCTCCCTATTCATAGCCAAGGTCCTCCACAGAGGATTCTAAAATCTCCCTCAAGCCACTGCAACTGTGCTGTCCCCCTTTAGTAGCCTGCTCTCCCTGAGCTCAGCATGGGTGCTGGCATGCCGGATCTGGAAGTCTGTGGCCATGGCAGCCTACAGGCACCCCCTAGCACCTTCCTGCCTTGTCAGCTCTCTTTGCTCCCTCCCCTTTCTCCGAGAGAAGGCAGGAATTCCTAAGATTCTGCACAACCACTCACCCCCATGCTACCACTGCCCCCTCTGTCAGGGCGATGTCACCCGCACTCACAGCTTCCATTCCCACCTCTGTGCTTGTGACTGCCGTCTGCAGGTGTTTGCTAAGCACAGATCTATATATTCAAGCACATCCTAACACCTCCCCAAATGCGCTTCAAGATGGCCTGGCCCCAAAACCAGCCAGGCTGTTCTCTTGCCTGCCTTGTACTTTCTCCCAGAGCAGGGGTCTGACAAATCTTTAGGCTATAAGCCAAATGCAGTTCACTACCCAAATGGCTTGCGGTTCTGTAGTTGTATTGCTTTTTTTTTTTAAAGCACTGAGCATTTCTTGAAACTTGAAAATGAAATAAAAGTTTCCCAAATATCTAAATAAAATATTCTTAGGAACATAGCCACACCCATTCATTTAAGTGACTGTTTCATGTAACAGCAGCAGAGCTACGTTATTACAAGAGAGACCACATGACTCTCAAAACCTGATCCATCTCAGTAAACGCTCACCACCTGCTCAAGGTGGAAGGGCATTGCCCATCTCCATATCAAGCCAGGGATTCTAGAGTCGGGCTATGGTCCACCTCCTCTCTATCTCAAGGCTACTGTCTGTAGCTTGCCCCTTCCCAGTCTCTCCCATCCCAGCCCTTTCATGCCTTCTGCTATGACTCTGATCCTGCCTCGGCATCTCTCATCGGGTCTATCACAATGACCTTATCACTAGCCACAGTATTTGCCCCTCACCCCAGGAAATTGAGGCCAGAGCTGTGTGAAGCCCTTATCTCCTCCCCTGATGTAGGGCTACCTTTTCCCACGGCTGGCTTCTCTGCTCTTAGCTGTGAGTGTTACCAGGCTGTTCTTTCTGAAGAGGATGGAGCCTTTCTCCTGCTTCCCTGACTTGCCACTGCTAGAAAGCTTCCCCCCTCCTTCCCGCAGTAACTTCTGGGAGCCCTTCTCACTCTGAAATCCTAGACCAAGAGCATTCAGGGCTCCTCGGAACTAGGACAAACAATACCAACTCC